TGGAGCGTTTTCCGACCGCATTTGTGTGTGGTTCTCTACATATCAAGGATCGTGTTTGAGTTACGACTTGAGAGGTCCTGGGTATTGCAGTAGATTATCCTGCTTAAAAGGTTTTGTACGACTTTTGTAAAACTGATTCTAAAATAGAAAGGGTTAATTGTAGCTCTCGTGTAATTGAATCCCATTGCTGGATTTTTCGGTTGTAAAACGTGTTAAATTGTTTTGAGGTAAGGAATTTATCGTTGAATTTAATAATCTTCCTGGCCCTCGGCACAAGTTTTGCTGTGTAGTCGTCTCTTAGTAGGAAAACTGAAGACGGTGTTTGCCACATGAATTTGTTTATTCACTTTTATAGGCTTCTTTTAGACGACGGATCGGTTGTGTTTGTCCTGTTGTGGAATAGAAGGGGAAGTTAACTGTGCTAAGATATATAACATACTCCAAATAGATTTTAGAATTCTTTGTAGTTCGGGCCAGTTCTTCAGTACAAAATTTTTTTGTCGGGGTGTTGACAATTTAAAACTTTAAATGTCTCCTACGTAGGTAAATGGGAAAGACTGATTCGTGAGAGAGGAGGTGTTTTTAGAGTATAATCTTGCTCCCTTTTTAGATAAACAGCAACTTCTCGTTACATAAAAAAATGATACTTTTTTGTAAGAAAATAATAATTAAATAAAATAGAAGTGTAAAAAAAAATACCGACTGTGTTATTGGCTACTTACAACACCATGTACAGTCTGTGCAGATTACAGAAGTACCCTTAAACTGATCTTTTATCAAGCTTTGTCTGTCCCCCTTAACGATTCGAGAACAGTAGTTGATGTACAGAAGTACTGAAGCTTCCCCTCCGTCACTTAGGAGACTAGTGACTTTGTATATTTTCCATTGGGATCTGAACTTTGTACTTAGTGAAGTACAACCGTAGAAACAATACCATTGGTCGATGTCAATCAAGTCAATTACTCTAGGGAACATTAATGCAGTGGGTGTTAAGTGAACCTGTATTGCTTAACACGCGTAGCCTTTTTCCCCCTGCTTTTGTAATGCGAAGTGGACGACTAAATGTCTTGTACAGTTTGTTAAATACCATATTGTGAAATTCTGTGTGAATTGTATAAAGTACTAGTTTCTTTTGCCTCCCCACCCCCCC